CAACCCCCGCAGCTGGTCACCCTCCCGTCCCCCTCCCCACCTGGGAATGGGGGGGGAATTAGAGGGGTGAAGGGAGACTCGCAGGCTGAGATAAGAACAGTTTAATAATGGCAATAAAACGAGAACAATGATGATGATAGAAAAAAAAGAAATATATAACCAGGCAATGTACAGCGTAATTGCTCCCCACCCGCTGACCAATGCCCACCCCGTTCCCGGCCAGCGACCCCGAGATACCAAGATCCCGCAGTCGCAATCCCGGAAGCCAGAGAGCTCCTTCCCAACCACCCCTCCTCTATATAGCGAGCATGATGTGCCATGATATGGAATATTTCACTGGCCAGTTTGGGTCAGGTGCTGTGGCCGTGCTCCCTCCCTGCTCCCCGTGCCCTTGCGCACGGGCAGGACATGGGGAGTCGGAGAGTCCTTGAAGTCTCGGTAGCAGCTGAAACATCAGTGTGCTATCAGCATTCTTCCCATACCAAACCCAAAGCTACATCCAAAACACAGCACTCATCTAGTCCCTGAAAAGGAATTTACTCTATTTCAGCCCAAACTAAGACAACCAGGCCCCTGAAAAGTAGTCTTCCCAATGAGACCAGAGCTGCAGCGCGGCGCACGTGTGATCCTCCTGTAAAGCCTGGGCTGTTTTTCAGCAAATGCTGGAGTCCCAGCCACCGAGGACCCGACCAGCTTTCGGGTGTGGTGACCGAGTACTGCTTTCTGGAAGCTCATTCCGCTTCTTCAGGCATTCCTCTCGCTCCATAGCAAAACCGGGCTAAATGTTGCTGTGTGGCATTAACACATCCTTCCCCTCTCCCCAGAGAAAGCGCCATTGCGAGGGGAGCAAATCTGTTTTCTGCGTGTGAGTGCAAATGTGAAGAAGAGGGGTTGGAGAAGCAGCGCCGTTTGCGAGGTGTGCAGCTCTGTTTCAGCCCGGTGCTGAACACCGTAAGAATAGGATACTGCTTATTTTGATGCAAGAGTAAAACCGAGACGCTCTGACATGAGTCATTTTGAGACTTCATTTGCCATGAGAATTGAATTTCCTTTCTCAATTTTTTTAGCAGCCATTTAGATTTAATTATATATAGCAACCATATATATTTAACATCTATACATGTTAATATATATATAAACCCCACGTATGTATTATTATATCTATTTAGCAGTCACGTATATATAATTATATATATTTTTTTTAAAAGGGTATTTCTGGCCTTGCTTACGGGTGGGATTGTCTTTCATCTCAGGCTGCCCTGCAGCTCAGCTGTGCGTGAGGGCTGCTGCCTGTGTGCAGCGGGGGCCCGGGGGCCCGGGGGGCCCAGGCCGTGCAGCACTGCCCGGGTGGAGGCAGCGGCTGTGGCAGGGGTGCTCAGCTCTCTTCCTCCTCGGCCCTTCTGGCGCCCGTGTCCAGCGTCCTCGTGTCCGCCGACGGGGTGGGTGCAGGTCACGGGTGAGTTGGGGTGCGCAGGGGTGGTTACCCGGTTATCCAGGCAGCCTCCAGCAGCGGCTCCGCTAGTGGCCAAGTGCGGCGTGTCGAGCCCCTCGCCAAGGCTGTGTATCAGCCTCCGGGGCGTTTTTATGAACGATTGCGCTGTCCTCTCATACGATATCAAGAGCATAAAGTGCTGCAAAAGCAGTGCCCACGGAGGATCCCATGGAAGGTGGCTGATTAACTTTGGAGCTTTCAGCATTTGTTATTTCCAAGGAGCTTTTGGTGTTCAGGTGACCTTCACGCAGCCTGCAGCCTCCAGTCCCGTCACTGCCATCGTTAAATTACCCGGTAATGAGATTGCTGCAGGTGTCCTTGTTTCTGCAGCTCTGCGTTCACCTGTCAGGCTGGGTGGCTCAGTCTCACATGACAGTTGTTATACGAAGAAATGTTGAAAAAATACCAGATTGCCAGTTTCTTATAATGGCAGTTTTAACCTCTTTCACTTGGGATCCTCACAAATTTTAAGAGCCTGACATTGTTTATAAATATTTTGTGACTTCAGTCAGTGCTTTGCATCATTGTTACTTAATTAATTCAGCATGCGGTAAGGAGTAATGATTGGATAGGACCTTGCTGTAGCTGGGAAGGTGTGGGACAGTGATGCTGGCAGGGGACTGGTAGGGCTAGCCTGCCTTGTGGGCACATACCTGTCTGTCTGTCTGTCTATCTATCTGTCTGCATACTGGAGATTATTTCACGCATTGGAATGACATCACTGTATTGTCTTGGTCATTGAGCTTCCCAGTTCCGATGCAGCGATTCCAAGCACATGTGCTCAGGCAGTACAGGTATTTTTAGTTTGCTGTGGCACTTGGCGGGTGAGTTACTGTTTGTCACCTTACTGAGCTGAATTTGCAGAAGGAGCCAAGGACGAGGTCTCCCCTCTTGCCAAAGAGCTCTACCAGTTTTAAGACTTCCTCCTTAGCACAGGCTGAGTCCTCCTGTCGCGTAGGCAGTCCAACGTGGTGCAGCCTTGCGCCAGAAGTTGGAGAAAGTACAGCTGCCGCTGTTGCGGGGAATCCAGGCACCCAAGAGCTGGCAGAAGGTGCCCGCGGGCCGGGGGTCCCGCTGCGGTCCCGGGAGCTGCTTCCTCTGCTGCCAGCCAGCCCGGTGCAGGCGAGATCCCCGAGCTGCATGGAGAAGCATTTGAACCAAGCAAGCGCCTACAAATACCGGTCACCTTCCTCCCTCCCGTGGTGTCCGCGGGCCTCTGGGCTGATAACGGAGCCGGAGATGTGCTGGGGGCCGCCCAGTTCAGCGAGCGCCGAGGCACAGCTTCCCCCCCCCGAGCACAAGCCGCGCTTCTCCCGCGTGCGTGGCCGTGCACACGTGCTTCGTCCTGTTTGGCGAGGCCCCGAGTCTGGGAGGTAACCGGCAGCGCGCTGCGAGCTCAGGAGGTGGTGGAGGGAAAGCTGTCACCGCTGCCTGAGCCGGGGTGGGATGCGAATTGAAGTGGTGAGCTTTGGTGCCACCAAAATCACCTTGCTCTCGCTCTTCTGTTGCCGCCCTTACCCTCGTCTCCCGAAAAGGGCCGGGAGTTTGAGTGTGTATAAATCAGCCAGACGTGATGTTTGAAGAGCTGCCTCTCGGCTTAGGTCGGGAGTGGCTCACCGGGCGCCGGTTCGCCCTCTGGGTTGCACAGACCTGCAAGGAGGCTGTGGGGTGCTTGGGCCAAGGGCAGGTGGAGACGGGCCTCACCCTCCCTTTGGCGGGCTGCAGAGCTTGAGGGGCTCCAGGCACTAATTTGGGAAGGGAAAAACAGCGTTAGCAGAGAAGAGAGGGAGTTGGTGGTGGTGCCGGTACTGCTAGCGTGAGGCCAGCGGCGAACCGCGCGTCCGTGGGAGCCGGGGAGGGGACGAGGTGGGCTGGAGGCCGAGTTTCAGCTGAGTTTCCACGGTGAGCACGTGCAGCAACGCGCTGTTGCTGGAGCCGGCCCGCTCAGCTGAGGTGTCGCACTGCCTTCTGCGGGTGGGGGGGCCTGGGGGCTGCTCCCCCCTCTCCCCCCCGGGGCCTGGGAACAGGCAGTCGCTGCATGGACCCGTCTCATCACCCGACCTCTGTGATTCCGGCTTCTCTGATCCCTCCGCTGCGCAGCTGTCCCTCTGGAAGCCTGCTCAGCCTGATTGTGCTTACTCTGAATATATATATTTTTTCCCTACTGTCTAGTCTCATTTTTTCCCTCCCGTTTCCAGCTCTGCACACCCCCTCCCCGTGGGGCTCCCCTTCCCACCGGGCAGAGCCCAGCTGCCGCTCCTGCTCCCTGCACAGCGCTTCCGAGGGCTGCTAAAAACCTCCCCGCGCTTGGGAAGCGAAGGCGTGTTCCCATCACGCCCCGTGCCACGAGGGCGAAGGGTCTGACTGCGCTTCGTGGACAGCGTTTCCTTCCCTGGTGCCTGCCCGACTTCCCGGGATGAGCCCTGTGTCGGGGAGCGGCCGCCTCGGCTGTGTTACGCGAGAAGGGGGAGCTGGAAAAAGTGCAATTGGTCCTTTACCGTGGGAGAGGAGTAGCCTCAAACTGAGGCTGATCGAGGCGAGAAAATGCAACTCTGACACACAGAGAGGAGAAACATCAACCCGATGTGCCGAGTGGAATTAGCGTGCGTGAGGCCGTCCGTGTGCACAGCCTGCCCAGGGCTCCCCTCCCCTCGCCCTTCCCCACCGCCCCGCGGAGCCGCGCTCCGGCCAAGGCTGGGGGCTGCGGCGTGTGTCACCGCGGCTCAGGGTCCTTCTGAGAAAGGCAAAAAAGCCTGGAACAGATAAAGTCTGTCGTGTTTTGTGAGCCAGTGTTTCAAGGGTCTGAAAGACTTTTTTAAGCCTTTGAGCCAAAGATGGGTTTGGTTTGCCAGTGAACCCGGCAGCGCTGGGGGGATTTGGGTGAGGAGTGTGTGCGTACAGCACCGGGGCTCTGTCATCAAATGATCGTTTGTCAAGAAATAATATGTTAGTTTATATGCAAAGAGTACAGGATTTCAGGTAGTGCTAGATAAATTGAAGTATGATTTTAGTTTCAAAAAGGCAATTGAAAAGCTCTGAGGGTTGATCTCTGTGTACTTACACAACTGTTTGTTTTGACAAAGAACAAGGTTTTAGTATGAGACCGGTGAATGAAATTCTTCAGCTCTCACTTGGAAAAAAAAAAATCAAAATCTGTTGGCTTTAGGAAGCCTTGAATTAAACCTGAGGCTCTTGAGAGAGCCTCCTCAAGCAGAGCCTGCGCGACTTGCTCCGAGACAAGGAAAGAGAGCTCTCCTGGCCAGTGTTTGTTGCTGACGCTGTATTTTCTTTTTCTCCTCCCTTGTGTGCACGCAGAAATCCGAACTCAGCTGGTGGAGCAGTTCAAATGCCTGGAGCAGCAGTCGGAGTCGCGCCTGCAGCTGCTGCAGGACCTGCAGGAGTTCTTCCGCAGGAAGGCTGAGATCGAGCTGGAGTACTCCAGGAGCCTGGAGAAGCTGGCGGAACGCTTCTCCTCCAAGCTACGCAGCTCCAGAGAGCACCAGTTCAAGTAAGGGGGTGCTTTCAGGGGCAGAATGGTGCAAAACGATGGGCCGGAGACTGCCTCCAACACGAGATGTTTGTCTGTAGCTGCACAGTCCGAAAGCGGAGCAAACGGGATGGCATCGGTGGTGACCTCGCCTGTCCTCGCGCTGTGCGGGGTTCACAAAAAGAACTAGCCGTGTCTTTTTCCAAGGCTTCCACCACAGCAATTACCGACCTGTGCTGCCCAAAATAGACTTACTATGTGCTTCTTTGAGCACTACAATGGAAATATGAATCGGGGACTAGGAAGGAGTCAAGCCCCTTGATTATTTTTTTTTTTTTAAGAGGCTTGAATTCAGCCGCTGATTTGATTATGCAAATAATGGTAGGCCCGTTTTATAAACCCTGGTTTCTGTATGTAGTCCAACCCTTGGATGTTGGAATGCCCCACATTGCACACAGATCTGTTTACAGGCTCACGCTTGGAAGCAGTTTCTGGAAATCTAATCTATTGCAGTTTTATAAAATGAAGTGTGTATGTTTTCTGTGTACACACCCATACAGTGTTGAAGCAGGCAAATCCGTAGTGGAAATGTTTTGAAACAAAACTTTGAAATGGGAGGTATGAACTGGATGCTGGAATTGTGTGAAACTCAAGCTGATGATGATAATTGTAAAATCCGCGAATGTGCAATATGTGCGAGCTTTCATAAAGCAGCCTCTTTTCAGTTGAATCACATTCTCAAGGCTGGCTAAAATAAAAAGGATCCCTCCCCCAAAACACTCCAAAACAAACAAACAAAAAAAAAAACCAGCAGAAGACCCAACCAAAAAAGCCGAAGCCAACCTGGAGGCAGGGTTTAAGCCCGGGGTGCGCAGCTGGTGCGGCAGGCGGGCCGGCTGCCTCGCGGCTCCGCGGCTGGAGGAGCGGCCGGTGCCCGCCGGCCGGTGCCCGCTCGCCGGGCCGGGCTCCACGGGCCGGGCTCGGGCTGGCACCAGTGCGTTGGTGGCTGCTGGGGTTTTCCTCCTGTCACGACAGGCCCTCCCCGGCGTTTCTCGCGGGGCAGCACAGAGGCAGATGCTCGTCCTGGCTGCTTCCCATGCAGCACGTCAGCTGAAGGTCCCACCTTAACCCCCCCGCCACAGCATTGATCTCTGTCTCTTCTGACAGCGGTGTCCATGAAATAGTCTCTCAGCTGGGATTGTGCCCTTTGCTCGACATGAAACCAGTGTCATTCATTTCACTGGCCGACAACGACAGCCACTGTTTAGCTCCTTTCCCAGAAAATTGAGGGTTTTGCCTGTCTGATGCGCTTAACCTTGCTAGCCCCTGGCTCTTCAGTCTTTTTTTTTTTTTCTCTAACCTCTTGTGATTTTGTTTTTTCCTGTTTCAGCTGAAAGAGCAGCGACTTCTGCAGTTACATTACTAAATCCTATTTATTCCATATTACTAAATCCCATTTAATCTGTTTACTTGGTCTCTCTGGTGCGCAAGGCTTTACTGTTGTCTTGTGCAGAAGTCTGCTGAAAATGATTTGCCATTCAAATGCTGTCTGGGCTTTTTGCATCCCACTGTCGCTCGTCAGTTGTGCGGCGCTGGCTGGCGCTGCGGTGTCCTGCGCCAGGGGTAACTGTCCTGGGGAGGGAGCTGGCCCGCGCGGGCTCGGGAAGGTGCTCTTGGTGTGCGATGGAGCCCGCGAAGGCTCGGGGAGCGTGTGTGCCTCTCCCGTCAGCTGAGAGCAGTGTTATGGCACTGCCGTGGCTTATTGTGCTTCTGCTGCTGGAAGGATGCTGTTGTGCAGAATCTGCAGTGACAATGATTCTCCGCCTTTCCAAAACACCGGGGCACAAGTGCCTGGTGGTTTGTGATGGTAATGGTGGTGTTAATTGGGTCCACTTGCATTCAGCACACACTTCTGCCGAGTCCTCCCTGCCTCTCTCTGTGGTGAGAGAGACTCCCTCAGTGCTCCAGGCTGCTTTGTACCTGCCCTTCATTAGGTTCATCCGCAGTGCTTCCCCAGCTTGCTCATGAATGTCATTACTCCGATGAGGCTTTTGACGCTCCGAAGAGATGCGCTATCCCCAGCAGGTCCTTTGTCCCTGGGCAGCCACGTGCAGCGCGCTGTGGCCCAGGGCCGCGGTGCTGCTGGGCTGCGGCTGGTGGCTCCGGGCTGACGGACTCGTTCACGCTTCTCTGCCGGTGGTCTTGTCTGTCCGTGCACGCAGGGGTTTTCTGGGGTCGCCGTGCTTTCCTCTCCACGGCTCCAGTGGCGAGGTGGGCTGCACCAGCCCCGCTCCCGTGGGCGAGAACATCTTGGACGAGGAGGAGTACATACGCGAAGGCTTCGGCTGTGCAGTGTAGCGGCAGCGAGCGTGGGCTTCCTTGGCTTTCCCTCGCCCGCCTTCCCTCGCCCGCCTTCCCTCGCCCGCCTTCCCTCGCCCGCCTTCCCTCGCCCTCCTTCCCTCGCCCTCCTCCCTCCCTCCCTCCCTCGCCTCCCTCGCCCTCCCTCGCCTCCCTCGCCCTCCCTCGCCCTCCCTCGCCCTCCTCGCCCTCCCTCGCCCTCCCTCGCCCCCTCGCCCTCCCTCGCCCTCCCTCGCCCTCCCTCGCCCTCCCTCGCCCTCCCTCGCCCTCCCTCGCCCTCCCTCGCCCTCCCTCGCCCTCCCTCGCCCTCCCTCGCCCTCCCTCGCCCTCCCTCGCCTCCCTCGCCCTCCCTCGCCCTCCCTCGCCCTCCCTCGCCCTCCCTCGCCCTCCCTCGCCCTCCCTCGCCCTCCCTCGCCCTCCCTCGCCCTCCCTCGCCCTCCCTCGCCCTCCCTCGCCCTCCCTCGCCCTCCCTCGCCCTCCCTCGCCTCCCTCGCCCTCCCCGCCCTCCCTCGCCCTCCCTCGCCCTCCCTCGCCCTCCCTCGCCCTCCCTCGCCCTCCCTCGCCCTCCCTCGCCCTCCCTCGCCCTCCCTCGCCCTCCCTCGCCCTCCCTCGCCTTCCCTCGCCTTCCCTCGCCTTCCCTCGCCTTCCCTCGCCTTCCCTCGCCTTCCCTCGCCTTCCCTCGCCTTCCCTCGCCTTCCCTCGCCTTCCCTCGCCTTCCCTCGCCTTCCCTCGCCTTCCCTCGCCTTCCCTCGCCTTCCCTCGCCTTCCCTCGCCTTCCCTCGCCTTCCTCGCCTTCCCTCGCCTTCCCTCGCCTTCCCTCGCCTTCCCTCGCCTTCCCTCGCCTTCCCTCGCCTTCCCTCGCCTTCCCTCGCCTTCCCTCGCCTTCCCTCGCCTTCCCTCGCCTTCCCTCGCCTTCCCTCGCCTTCCCTCGCCTTCCCTCGCCTTCCCTCGCCTTCCCTCGCCTTCCCTCCCCTCCCCTCCCCTCCCCTCCCCTTCCCAGGGTTTTGGGGCAGGGCTCTCGCTGAGCCCGGGTGTGCAGCAGACCTGGCTCCCGGGAGGGCGAAGCAGCGGGTGCTCCCCGGCAGCCTGCGCGTGTCTGTAGGTGCTGGGGAGGGAGGAGCCCCTGGGGCTGAACCCGGCCATGGGTGCGGGAGCCCTCCACCCGAGGGGGACCCTCCTCTGCAGCCAGCACCTCTCGCAGGAAAGCGTTGGTTTGACCAGAGCAAACAGCGCGGGTGGAACGTTGGGAACAAATCGCGTGGCTGCCTCGTTTAGAGGGTCTACCTCAGAGTGCCTCTTGGACACTGTGGAAGGTTTTCTTGCAGTTGTATTATTTCTGCAAGTTTTGATTCGCTTTTGATTAATTTGCCTTCAGGACTGAAAGCAGTCCATGGAGAGCAGTGCAGGTTTCTCTCAGTGTTGAGATGGTACATGTCAAAATTAGTTAAGTGCTAAGCAAGCGGGAAATGTTTTCCTGAAACTTCCCTCAAAAGAGAGTTTTTCTGGCCACCCCTGGCTTCCAGGCGGGTCAGGGTCTCGGGATGCCCCTGGGCAGGGTCTGGCCCAGCGGGGCCTCCTGAGGATGAGCTTGCTCTGAGGATGCTGCGTGGCCCCCGGGGACTCTTCAGCTCACCCACTCCCGTGCACGGCAGCCTCTTGTCTGCAGCGCGAGTTGGTTTAAGACCATTGTAAATATTCAGCATACATGAAAGTATTCACGTTGTGCAGACACTTCGTGTTAACTTTGGATGCCAAACATTTTCTCCAGCACTGTTTAGTGGACTAAATGCGGTACAACAGATTGTGTGGCAAATGGGCTCCTTCTGAAATGGAAGTGACAGCTGTATTAATAGCGCAAAGTGGAAAAAAGAAGCAAACCTATCGCCCTTGCAAAGTGTTGAAGGGATTGCCAGGGATGTCTCTTCTCCTCTACCATCTTCTAGAGCACCCAGCTTGGGAGGGATCTGCTTGGGGCTCTGATTTGGTGTGTGCTGCCGGACATCCCTGCGGGGAAGTGCTGGAAGGACTGAAGGAAACTCCAAAGGAGGCTCCTAGAAATGGGAGCAGGGCCACAGAGGGCTTCCCAACTCAGCTGGGGTGAGGGGACCAGGTCTTGAGTTGTCTCTGGCTTGTGTGTTTTCAGGTCCTTCAGAGCTGTTGCCCGGAGTACCTGCGCTGTTAGTGCAATATTGTTAACTGACCTGTTGCAGGGCACACCTTTTTAAAGCATAGGTATGGGGCAGCGGACCAGAAAGTGCACTGGGTGCCCCAAGGAGTTGAGGCAGGGCAGAAACACCAAGTGGTGCAGGGCAGACTGTATGCAGAGATCCAGCTCTGTCTGCGTGGAGTGAAGCGCCCGGGGTCAGAATCGGAGCATCCGTCTGCCCTGCACAGAAAGCCTCTGTCCTGCCCCGGCAGCGGGGGAGGCTGGTAGAGGAGGAGGATGCTGCGGGAGAGAGCAGCTTGGCTTGGTTGAAACCCTCCTGTATCGTATGTAGGCCGCGAGCTTCAGTGTCAGCAGAGCCCTTCCAGCACCCTTCCCGTACGGAGGAGAGGTGCGGCTGTGGGCAGCCGGGCAGGTGAGACCTGCACCGAGGGCCCCCCCGCCCCCAGCAATGTCCCCTCGAGCTGCACCGCGGCCCTGGGGAGGGGAGGGAGGGGAGGGAGGGGGGATGCTGTGTCCGGGCGACCCCCAGCAGGCCGGTGGGGAGGGGGTGGGCTGGAGGGGTGGGCTGGCTCCCCGAGAGCCGCACCGAGGGGCACCGGGTGCTTGGCTGGATGCGGCGGCGGTGTACTGGGGGGAGGCAGCCCAGAGGCCATCTCTTGGGTTCTAGCTGGTGCAGGTAGTGGGGGAAGGCAATGTTAATATGCTGACAGCAGCCGTTTGAAAGTTAAGTACCTTTTTGATTTATTTTCTTCCCAATTCCCTAGGAAAGATCAGCACCTGCTTTCCCCTGTGAACTGCTGGTACCTGGTTCTGACGCAGACCCGGCGAGAGAGCAGAGATCACGCCACCCTGAACGACATCTTCATGAACAATGTCATTGTTCGGCTGTCACAGATCAGTGAGGATGTCATCAGGCTCTTTAAAAAGGTGACCAAAGCTGCGATGGAGGGTTCTGTTCAGTGGGGATCTATCCTCGCATTTTAGTTTCAAATAGAAGTTTATTGTGGACTTCTACAAAACTGTGCCCCCGCCAAAAATCTAACAAGGTACAAAAAAGCGATCGTTGTTAAAAAGCAGAGAAAGGTAACGTGTACTTCGTAGAATGTCACGTTACCTCTTAATGAGAAAACTAGAGAGGAGTCTAAATTTTGGACAGTGAAAAGTAGAACCACAGTATGGCAGGCCAAGTACAATTCTCAGAGACAACTTGCTAAAGACATAAAGCTAACAAAAACTTCTCCAAAATCACAAGAAAGAAACCTGCTGCAGAATGTGAAGGGGAATACATGGGTGAGGTGGAAAAACGCTTTGAGGTAACAGCCAAAGTTCAGCTGGCTTCTGTAGCTTGGTACTCCTTATAGAAAAGCTTGGACTGGAGATTTTTCTTGGTGGGGTGGTGGTGTTACCAGCTGGAGGAACCGTATCCAACTGAATTGTCATTAGATGTTGCAGAGCAAATCTGTACAAGGGACTGTCACTTGTAAGTCTTTCCAGATAATACTACCCAAGAATTTTAAAAGAAACTGAGATATAAAACTGTCAAGTGACTAGCAGTGAGGTGTGACCTGACGCTTAAACTGGTGTCCGTGCCAGAGAAATGAAGGTGGAAAACGTGATGACTTTTTTTAAAGACTCCTGGAGGGCTTCAGAGGACAGATCAGCCATCTGACTTTAAAAACAGACTTGTTGGGTGAAACTTTAGCAAAGAGCAGAATGACAGGCATGTAGGCAGATACAAGAGTCAGCATGGCTTTCTGAAGAGAAGAGTCGTGCCTCAGAAATCTAGTGGAGGTATTTCCAGGAGCTGGCACAGTACCTTCAGTGTCTTACGGGCTTTGGAAAAGGTCCCTCACTGAAGTTCTTGAAGAAGCTGTTGAATAATAATGAGCGGTTGTTTTGTGGATTAATGACTGGTTAAAAGGCAGGGAACAAAGGGAAGGCAAATTTCAGTGGAGTTCTTAATAAATTATTTGGAAACGGGATGAATGGTAGGATGATAAAGTCTGCTGATGATACAGAATTATTAATGATAACCAAATTAAAAAGGAGCATCAAAGACTTGCCAGAATCTCGCAGTCAGGTGGACAGGGACTCCAGCTGAAGAGGAGGGGGGAGTGTGTAGTATGGGCAGAGCATGAAGAGTCACAGCAGTCGGGAGGAATGAGGACCTGGTCGTGCTGGCCACGGGCGGTCAGCAGGCACCGGGCGGGAACAGAAGGTGAAAAGGAAAGGCTTTAACATCATTAATACTGTATATATTCTAGTACATTTGCAATATTATGCGCCGTGGGACGTGTTTGTTGCCTCGTGCCATGTTTTTGAAAGCCGGGCATGTGGCCGAGCCCTCGGGCAGTGGGAGGGATGGGAAGGGGGTCCCGGGGCAGCTCGGGGGTCCGGTTGAGGAGCTGCAGGGCTGCCACCCCTCGTGAACGTGCTTGGTGGCATCGCTTTTCCTTCCCTTCTGGGCACCTGCTAATGCCTGCCCCGGGAATACCGTGGTGGGCTGGAGGGACCTTTTGCCTGCCTCTGTGGCTCTTACGTTTTTCCTCATTTTTGTCCCTTGTTTTCAACAGGGGTAGCTGAAGAACCATGGTTAGTGAGCAGGGTGAGCCTGCTGGGATGCCTGCCTCTTCAAACAGGAGAAGGGCTCTCAGATAGGTGGCTATCTTGAAATTTTAGCCTGGTTGAAGAATAAATTTAATGTGGTATTTTTATGGCCAGTTTCCTCTAGTGTATAGATCTAACCTAGAAATTAAACCACAAGGTCAGGTTTGCATTTACTGATCTGATACGAGACATCATCCCTTTTTCTGTCCTTCTGGCCTCCAGAAATTGGGCACATTTGGGGTATATCAGTTAGTTCAGCTCTAAGCCTGTCTCAAAATTTCCTTCTCATTTGCATTTTACTCTGAATCCATTTCTGAGATGTATGTTAAGACTACCCTTCTGCTTACCCTTCCTAGGTCTGTGAATGGTACATCTCACTTTGAACCGCAGGACAAATCCAGTCAACATTCAAACAAGGACATAAACGGAATGTTTGAAGTCTTTTCTTATAGTAGGCTAATCCTCAGCCAGGACAAGTTGATAGAGTATTTAATCCAATCAGCAAAACTATTTCTTTGTGTTTCCTCTTCCTCTGTCTCTCCTTCCCTTCTCTTTTTTGAATTTAAATTTCAGCTTTTAAGGCACAACACTTATTCTATAGGAATTGTTGCTCCTGGTTTCCCTCCCCCATCTTCTGCCAGGAGAGGTGGAGTAGCACTGACACCCATCTGCAGCCTGCCACAGCCAGCTCCTGCTTTTAATCAAAAGGAGGTTTTACAATAGAGTCGTGGGGATCTGTGATGTCACTTGCATTTGTCCCTTGAGGTTTAAATTGTAGCAGGACTCACCTGTCCCTGGAAATAACGCTCAGCTAAATCATGGAAACGGCTTATTTTGTGTCATCATTTGCCTTAGTGTGGATAGGGAGGCTGAATAGCCTTTGGGGGATATTCAGGTTATTTCTTTTTCTTCATCTATTGCACACTGTGCCCAAAAGGGGTCTGGGGCTGCGGTTCCCTCTTTGCAGCAGTGACGGGTGAGGAGCCTTCGGCGCCTGTGTGCAATACGAGCACCCTGGTAGGAGGCTTTTGCAGACATCCAGTCCAGCCTTAAAGCTGGTGGGAGGTTGCTCAGAGGAGCTGTCGTTCACTGTTTTATCTGGTCTGGTTTGGAGTATGATGAGTAAAGTGCCTGAAGCACTCCTCCTGGGGAGACTGCACCGTACAGGGCCGTTGGGCAAGTAAAGCGGCTCCGGAAGGGTTAAGGGCACCCGCAGTTGTGGTTCAGCTGTTCGGTTTTGTTCTGGATTGCTCTTTGATGGTAAATTAGGGTAACATTTTTTTTTTTTTTCCAGAGATGTCACTTTAATTCCTCCCATCTAGAGTTTATTAATGGGTTGTGACATGCTGCGGGTACACGGAGGAACTGGAAGGTTTTGTGTTTTGTGCTTTCATTATGTAAATGTAAACAAGCTCGGCGGGGGAGCCGGGCCCTGGTGTCTGGGCTACGAGGGTGCGCGTAGATGAGAAGCAGTTGATGGGTGCGGATTCATCTGCCAAGGAAGGTGCAGGGTGCTGAGCTGCTGCTCCCCTCAGCTTCCCTGGAAGTGCTTGGCAGCAGTGGGGGTCGTTCATCAGCGAATTGGGGGTCGTGTTCTGTTCCTCTCTGCTGGAGTGTTTCCCCCCCCACGGACGGTCCCGGGCATCGCTCAGGCACGGCTCTCGCCGTGGGCGCCAGCGGGCCCTTTGGCTTGCCAAAATCTCAGAGAGGGGGAGAGAGGAGCTACTGGGGATTGAGTGTTTGAGTCGGAGACATTTGAGTGAGCCAGCTCCGGGTCTGACCTCGCCTCAGCTCAGGTCAGCGCTGGCTTGCACAGCCCTCAGCCCCAGGGCTTTCGGGACGCGTAAGTTGATTATCAAAGGTAGAGGAGAAGCTGGATTACAGTCCTTCAGTCACTGCTGTCCTGCGGGTGCTGGGTGGTCCGAGCCGGGGTCCCTGCCGTGGCTGTGTTTGTGCCAGCACAGCTTTGCGGGGTGCTCGTGGCCGCGGCTGTGCCCTGCGTTGCAGCGGTACCTGGGGGCTGCTGGTTCTGCGCCCGGGGTCCCGCCGCCTTCTGCTCGCGGGTCACCTCCCTTTTTTTGGCTTAATTAGCGGCAGCTTTGCTAGCTTTGAAAGCGAGGAGGCGGCCCTGTCGGGAGAGTGGCAAGCCCTGCTCTCATTGTCCGTTTGTTTGTAACGTCGCGGAGCGCCGTGGCCGTAGGTGCTGCCGGCAGCGTGTAGCCGGTGTCTGAGGCAGTTGTCTGGCTCGGCACACCCGAAAAGGAGAAACTCTGGTTTTAGGGAAATACCGTCAGTTGCTTATGAAACGTTATTTACCCCAAGTATGTATGTTTTTATCAAGGAGGGGAAAGGTGGTTACTGAGGTGGTCCTGATATGCAAAAATAGCTTGGGACCCAGGAGAACAGAAAACTAGAATAAGTTGAAAAAAAAAAAAAAAAAACAAAAAACAAACCACTTTGAAAATAAAAAAAGAAGCTGTAGGCCCTAAGTCACAGTTAGAAAAAAACCTTGCAAAGCCAACAAAGGAAATGAGTAAAGCTTATAGTGAAAATACAAAAAAGAAATGAGGATTGGATTCCTGAAATTGGCAGACAGAGGAATTAAATACAGAAGAAACAACTTTTAAATAAGTGTGTGTTTGTATAAAATATATGCAGTGGTGTCCTTAATGCACACATACATACATATATGTGCATGTTGAGTGTCTTTGTGTGCCTATGTGTGCTACAAAGTAATTTAGTAATAAAGTGGTGCCTAAAATCATATGTAGACAAATGTCAAATGCTGCACATAAGGAAAAGCAGCTTTCCAACTCAGATGCATAAGGCTGGGCGCTGCACTAAATTTGGACGAGTCCTGGAGTCAAAGCTCCAGGCTCCGCGCATGCCAGCTCGGCGCTCGCTAGTGGTCAAAAAAGAAATCCAGTGAAAGTTAGGAGCTGCAGGGAACAGAGCAGAAAACGTCGTTAATCCTCTGCAAATCCATGGCACGATTGCATCGCGAATCCTGTTGGGTTTTCTTCCGCTCCTTCCCTCCCAACACGTGCCCGGTGGCATCGCGGGACGGAGCGTTGGGGCTGGGGCTGCGGCGAGCCCGGCGCGGGGCAGCGCCGGGGGCTGGCGGGCAGGACCTGGGGGCGGGAGCTGGCGGGGTCGCTTCACTCTGTGACGGTGCCACGTCCCCGGGACGGTCACGGGTGGCGGGGGTGGATTTGGGAACGGAGAACTCCGGAGGGAAGAAACCCGCCTGTCTGCAGGAGCGTCCGTGGACGGTCTTGGCACTGCTGGTTAAGCACAGTGATCGATGTCGGTTAAGCAAT